GGAAATACCACTTCTAGGTATATACCTCAAAGAATTTAAAACAGGTCCTCAAATAAATGCTTACATATCAGAACTATTCACAGTAACTAAAAGGTAGAAATACTCAACTGTCCATCAATGGCTGAATGGATAAATAAAATGTAACATAGTCCTATGATGGAATACTAGTCAGTCATGAAAACAGACAAGCACATGTTTCAAGGTAGATGAACCTCAAAAAGAGTGTGGTAACAGAAATCAGGTAGGCATAGTAGTCCACATGTGATGATGCCATTCCTTTGAACTAGTTTGCATAGGTCCCTGGGGGAAGAGAACATGGATGGTTGTTAGGAGCTGGAGGGAGGGTGGATTGTGAAGTTACTGACACCTGGGTATAGTCTCCTTAATGGGTAAGAAAAGTGTTTTGCAGGGCTGGAGAGATGGGTCAGTGGTTAAGAACACTTGCTGTTCTTCCAGAGGACCCGGGTTCAATTCCCAGCACCCACATGGTGGCTAACAACTGTCTGTAACTCCAGTTCCAGGGGATCTGACACCCTCTTCTGGTCTCTGCTAGGGGGCATCACACGCATGGTACACTAACATACATGCTAGCAAAACACTCATACACATAAAATAAAAATTAAAAAGTGTTTTGGAATTAGATAGAGGTAGAACTCTGTACTGGGAGTTCCCCTCTAGCCCCAGGTTTGTCGTGTGCGTGTGTGTGTGTGTGTGTGTGTGTGTGTGTGTATGTGTGTGCATACACATGTGTATGTGTGCTTGTATATTTGTGTGCATATCTGTGCTTGCATGTATATACATGTGTATATATGTGTGTGCACATGTGCAAGTGTGATGGGAAATGTGGGGTGAGCTTAACCTTGGTTTTCCATTTGGGTAAGCAGCTATCTCAGCCCTGTTTACAGGGCAGCTCATCCCTCCAGTACCAACATGCAACACCAGCTGAGTCATGTATTGAGTTTCCAGAACTAAAGAAGAAAATGCAAGCCTCAGATAAACTCATATAGTTCTGGACTCAGGCCTCTATAGTAGGGTTTTCTTTTTAGTGTATATGTATAGGGTGTGTGAGACAAGGGCTTGCTCTGTAGCCAAGGCTGGCCTGAAACTTGTGACTCTCCTGCCGTTGCCCCTTTCTCCAAGGATTACAGATGTGGGAACCCTACCAAGCCTTAGAATAGGTTCTTATATGTGGTCATTAAATTCCTCCTGCTTTGTTCACTTTCTTCCACTCTGCCTTGTCTATTTCTGGTCCTTCGCTCCTTCTGTAATTTTGGAATCAGTTTATCAAAGTTTATTTAATCACCTAGTCCCTACTGAAGTTTCAACTGGAATAACACTAAAGGAACTTCTCATTTGCATGGTACTAATTCCTTTTGCCCTCAAACATGGCCAATACAGGGCCCGGAGAGCCAGCCATGCAAGCATGAGAAATTGAGTTCAGGTCCTCAGTACCCATGGAAAAAGCCAGGTGTGGCAGTAGGCATGCGCCTGTCATCCCACTGTGGGAAAGTTCATTGCAGGAGGATCCTCAGGCTTTCTGGTAGCTACTTCAGCTGGGTTGGTGAGCTCCAGGTTCAGTGACAGACCCTGCCTCAAAAAGTAAGATGGACGGCCAGGTGTGGTGGCACACTCCTTTAATCCCAGCACTCAGGAGGCAGAGGCAGGCAGATCTTTGTGAGTTCGAGGCCAGCCTGGTCTACATAGTGAGTTCCAGGACAGCTGGGGCTACAGGGAGACCCCGTCTCAAAAAGACCGAAAAAAAAAAAAGTAAGATGGAGTGATTGAGGAATATGGCTCACTTCAACATCTGATCTACACACACACACACACACACACACACACACACACACACACACTGGTTCATGCATAGCTTCATTTTGTAAGTTCTTGTTTTGTTTAGATTGGACCCAGGCCCTTGAGCATCTAAACATATACTCTATCACTCGGCTATACCTAAGCCCTTGTATACTCCATTTTTTTTCCTTCCTTTCTTCCTTCTTTTCTTTCTTTCATTTTTGTTTGTTTTTTAAGTCAGGGCCACATGTAGCCAACACTAACTTTGAATCCTGATCCTCCTACCTGCACCTTCCAAGTTCTGGGATTACAGGCATGCCCCACTATGCCTGGCTCGGTTTATTTATTTATTTATTTATTTGTTTATTTATTTATTTATTTATTTATTTATTCTGTGTGAGAGTATGCACATGTACATATGGGTGCCTAAAGAGACCAGAAGAGGGCATTGGATCTCTTGGAACTGGAGGTGGTTATAAGTCACCTAACATGGATTTGGGGTACTGAACGCCAGTCCTCTAAGCAGCAAGTATTCTTAACCACTGAGTCATCTCTTCAGCCCTATCAGTTCATTTTTTTTTTGGCTTTTTGAGACAGGGTCTCCCTGTAGCCCCAGCTGTCCTGGAACTTACTATGTAGACCAGGCTGGCCTTGAACTCACAGAGATCTGCCTGCCTCTGCCTCCCGAGTGCTAGGATTAAAGGCGTGTGCCACCACGCCTGGCTATCAGTTCATTTTTTAATGTTGCCTAATATGTGACATAAAACTAGTTAATTAACTTTCCCAGGTGACATAAAATAACAATTTTCTCAAGTTTTAAAAAGTATTTTTTTCTAATATACAGAGATACTATTGTATTTATTATTTTAAAATGTTTATTACATTTTTTAAATTATGTGTGTGGAGGTCAGAGAACAATTAGCAGGAGTAAGTTCTTTCCTTCTACCATGTGGGTCCAGAGATCAAACCAGGTCAGGCTTGGCAGCAAGTGTCTTTACTCACTAAGCCATCTCGCCAGCCCTATTCATTTTTGAGACAAGGTCTAGCCTATGTAGCTCGGGCTGGACTTGAAATCACAATCCTCCTGCCCTAGCCTTCTGAGCGTATAGGCTTGAACCACCGTACCCAAGCTTGTTTCAATTCTTATGCCTCATTTACTTTTCTCAGCTAAATAGAATCTCTCAGAAGTGGGCAATGTGGTGAGATCACATCTTAATCAAAACCCCAAACAAAATAGAACAAAAACATATGTAGTATTCTAATTATAATCTAGGTTTAAATTTTTATTTAAAAATTAAAAATTTTCTATGATTTTCTATGGTGGCTCTCTTTACTCCCACAAGCTATTTAGGAGTTCATTATTGACAATAACTTTTTAAGTGACAAACAAAATCATTTTCTTGAAGAACTGGGCTATTTCACATTTCCAAGCCATAAAAATGGACACCAAAATTTATCCCAGATGACATCTCAAAATGAATTGCAAACAACAAATCAGCATGCCATGACTGAGAACATTTCTGTGCCTTCACTCTATACAAAACATCCTAACTACAGTCAAGGGGCTGGGAAGATGCATCAGTGGTTAAGGGGACCCATGTTCAGTTCCCAGACCCCACATCAGACAGCTCACAGCCACCTGTAACTCCAGCTCCAGGGGATCTGATCCCTCTGACTTCGAAGGGCATCTGCACTCATGTGCACATATCACTCCCCCAACCCCACATAAGCATTCTTTCAAAAAATCTTTAAGGCCAGGCATGGTGGCGCATGCCTTTAATCCCAGCACTCGGGAGGCAGAGGCAGGCAGATCTCTGTGAGTTTAAGGCCAGCCTGGTCTACATAGTGAGTTCCAGGACAGCTGGGGCAATCTTTAAAAAAACTACAGTCAAGGAAGTCAGGTGAAATTTTGATTGATACAGCCTGGATTTAAGAGCTAACTAGGTAATCAGGAAATGTGGGTAAATAACTTTCTGTGCTTTAATTTCATCTTCTGTAAAAAAAGGAGGAGCAGAATGGTCTGTATTTATACCATGTCATTGGGAAGCGTTTTGTATCCAGCTGTCACTCAATAAGTAGCATTGATTTTTATCGACCTTGCTGCTGATTTTTACTTTGTTTAATATTTTTTACTGCAGGGTCTCATGTGGTCCAGGCTGGCCTCAACTCTATGTAGCCAAGGATGACCATGAACTTCTAATCCTCTTGTCTTTACCTGAGCTCTAGCATCACAGGTATGTGTCACCACACCTGGTTTATGTCATGCTGGGGTGGATCCCAGGGCTTTGTGAATGTTAGGCAAGCAATCTCTTGGATGGAGTTACATCCCAGCCCTTATTTTACTTTAAAAAAAAGTACATGTGTGTGTGTGACACACACACACACACACACACACACACACACAGAGAGAGAGAGAGAGAGAGAGAGAGAGAGAGAGAGAGAGAGAGATCTCACTGAACCTGGAGTTCACTGGTTTGGCTAAGCTGGCAACCAGCAAGTCCTGGGGATCCTTCTGCTTCTGCTTCCCGGTACTGGGGCTACAACTGTGCACTGCTGTACCTGTTTTGTTTGTTTGTTTGTTTGTTTTTTAAAGATGGGTTCTGGGGAGCAGACTCTGGTCCTCATGCTTGGACAGCAAATGCTCTACCAGCTAAGCCCCATTACAGCCCATACTTTATATTTTTACTGCTGCCATTTTTGGTCACTGTGGTTATTCTCCAGGTTTGTAAGGATCCATGTTCTAAACAGTTTTGTTGGCCCTGTGTCCAAAATGTTCTCACTTCTCTCATTCCTGTCCGTACAAACACACATGGGACCTACATAGGTGTTCACCGGCTCCTTTCATATTCAAATTACACACATAATTATGCACATAAATGCTAACAACACAGAACCCAAAGCTTGGGGTCCACACTCAGGCTTGCCCACAAAGATAGATTCATCGTCCACAGATAGACACCCGCTCATCTATCCCACTCAAAACCTACCAAGCCTCTACAGATCCGAAGCCACCAACGTGATGGGCTCCATCCACACAAAGACGGTGTGGAAGCCTCCTTCTCACTTCCTTTGGGTTGGTTTTATTTTAGTTTTATTTGTTGCTGCTGTTCTAGAGAGTTTATCATCTGTCCCTCTTGCTCCCTACCCAGCCCCCAAGCCTCCCCCCTCCAACCTCCATTGCGCATGTGCTCTGCATCCCTCCCCCATCCTGGGTACCAGTAGGCGCTCCCTGGCGCTGGCGGCTGAAGAGATGGAGCAGACTCATCTGGCACGCCCGGCCCCTTAAAACGCTGTGGTCTGGAGCTGCCTCCCTCCCTGCAGCTCGCAGCAGGGATGGAGTAAACCGAACCCCTCGACCTGCCCGCAGGATCAGCGATGGAGTTAAAGCAATCTTTGTCTACTCATCTGGAAGCCGAGAAGCCTCTGAGGCGCTATGGGGCGGTGGAGGAGACGGCATGGAAAGCGGAGGGACTGGGGAGAAGTGAGTGCTGGGGCAGGGATGGCGTGGGGACAGTTCCGAGACCTGTGTGCTGGAGCTGGAGGTCACCAGAGCTTGGGCTAACAGACTAGGGAAGCGGGAAGCGCCCCCGCAGCCAGGCTAGAAGCGCCGTACATCGCGGGTGCTCTCCCGGCTAACAAAAGGGGGTACCCTCAAGGCGGGAGGGCGGGCTGCACCTGGGGGTTCTGGAAATCCAAAGCAGCTAAGCCAGGAGCAGATTGGACTGGCCTGGGGAGCTTGCAGCTGGTCTGTGGTCTTGGGAAGGATGCTCTTTGCTGAAATCCAGGGAAGAGATGCGCTAGCTAGGGCGTTGGGATGCTTGAGGGCGCTGGAGCCAGAGGGCCGGCTTGGAAAGCACCCTTGTCCCTGGAGAGGGGGGAGTGTCTGCTTGCTCTCTCTGCCATGAGGTTCAGGGCACAACCTCAGCATCTTCTCCCCGACCTCTTCCTGGGTCAGATGAGAGGGAAGACTGAGGGGAGAGGTCAGCCCTGAGCAAGCCCTTGCCTTAGTGATGGGCTTTGGTTTGGGTTCAGTCCTAGGAGGCGGTTCTGAAACAGACTATTTACTGGCTCTCTCTATGGTGTTTTGGTATCAGATGCAGACATTTCTGAATAAACCAACGACTTTTGTTTTCCATTTGTTGGGCACTCTGCTTGAAACTCCTTAAAGTGTAGAGGCTGCTTGGGGAGTCTAGGGTCACTAGATGCTCCTGCAATCTAGGGCCATCAAAGTGTCGCCCCCCATCCCCTGCTGTGGTGTGGTTTGCCCAGCAGCCCTGATGCAGTCTGTCAGGCTGGGGAAAGCCCTGTTGCTACCAGCTGGGGCTCTGGGTCACTGGGCTCAGCCCTCTTCCCAACAAAGATTTCTAAGTTACATGGGACTAAAAGTACTATAAATGTGCCCATTTCCAGACCTCACCTGGGAGAAAGTGTGTTTTCTTAATACTTCTACTTCCTAGAATGGCTCATCTGTATTTAAATTTGGATTTCAAGTTCAAATGTTTTTATTCCCTTTGATGGTTGCCCTAATGTTTCCAACCTATTCCTTCTTTCCTTTCTCCTTTGAAGAACTCAGTTCTTCCTCCTGTTTCCTTGTCTCAAACTCTTTGGCCTTTGTGCTTTGGAGATAACCTTAGGTTTCTGGTTTCTTATCTTACCGCTCAGCCACTGCCAGTGGCTGCCTTTTATTGCTAGATTGTTGTATACTAAGAACTTTGGGTGCACCATCTCCTTAATCCTTGCAACGACCTCCTGTGGTCGTTGTGACTCCCTTGGCATGGGTGAGCCTCTTACTGGGGCTTGTTAAGGAATATGGCTAGATGGCAGACCCAGGATTCAGACCTAGATTTATTGGACCACAGGCTCTCACATTTTCAGGAGCCTTCCCAAGTCTGTTGAGAAGATGATCAGTGATTTTTATAATCAGAGAGCAGCCCTGTTGGTCTCTGCAATTCACAGTGGCCTTGAAAGAAGTCTAGGTCCCTAGGGAATAGAAGCTGCGAATAGTCAAGGAATCCCTGGTTTGAATCTAGCCCCACTCTTTTGCTGACTGTGACAAGGTGTATCTCTCTCCTTGCTTTGCCTCTGTTCTCTGAAAGTGGGGATAATAATAGTACTTCCTTATGACTTTTTATGAATATTAAACAGGATGGTGTATGAAGAGCTCAAGGTAAGTATCAGGACATATTGCTGCATCCTATTATTTTACTACTCCATCTGTAGAAGGAACTTGCAAGAAACAACGTAAAGCAAGACCCTGTGTTAAAACTACATTATTGGCCAGTTCCCCCAGTAGCTCTCTCTTATGCTTATCAAGCCAGCATCTCAGGTAGCCCAGGCTGTCTTCAGACTCTCTATGTAGCCAAGGATGACCTTGAACTCCTGATCCTCTTGTCTCGACCTCCCAAGAGCTGAGATGACAGGCATGCCATTGTGCCTGGCTTCTCATAGCGCTCTTTCAGTCTTTTATTTTCTGACCCTTTCATTAGGAAAAAATTTCAAGAATATAGGAAAATTGCAGCAGCAAGAACCCAATTTATACCATTTGAATTTCTGAAAATTTTGTATTTTTAAATTCTGGGCTACAAATGGTTAAAAGCACGGCACAAAGGTACTCTCATCCTTTCTGTTCCAAACCATCAAAGATCTGGAGGCATGCTTCCTGGTTCAATGCAAGATCAGTTACTTATTCGCCTTGGCACGAATCCCCAGATCCTCAGATCTGCTCCCCTCCACAGCTCTTTAACGTATTCAAATCTGAACTCTTCTCAAAGCCAGAATCTAGAAGCCCACTTTGGGTTCTCGAATCTGGCAAGTTTTGGTATTTCAACTCCTGTCTACTGCCAGGCATTTTGGCTTCGTGTGTGTGTGTGTGTGTGTGTGTGTGTGTGTGTGTGTGTGTGCATGCACCTTCTCAACTCACAAGGGATCTAGACTCCATCCTATAAGCCTGGGCCTCCATTTACTTATTAATGAGGTGTGAAAAACTATCACTGTTGGTTCTATGGCAAAACAACTGCCAAGCGATGCTGTGCTGCCCGACACGCTGGAGAACAGGAATGCTCCATTAAGAACACAGCATTCTGCTTTACTTTTGCACACATTGAAATATTCACATTAAAAAGCCAAAAAGGGAGGAAAGATGGCAGAATGGCTTTTTAAACTAACTGCTTCCTTTCATTTCAACTACAGTATTCGTTCATTTGTTTATTTAGAGATAGGGTCTCATGGGGTCCAGGTTGGCCTAGAACTTGCTATATAACCACAGATAACCTTAAACTTAAAAATAATTACCACATTTATTTATTTGTATGTGTGCATGTGTATTTATATAGGCATGTGTGCCATGTTGCACACATGAGGTCAGAGGACAACTTATAGGAGTCGATTCTCTCCTGCCTCGTGGGTCCTGATCAAACTTGGGTTATCAACATTGGCAGCCAGTGTTTTTACCTGCTATACCATCTCACCAGCCTCTGATCTTGAATTTCTGATCTTCCTGTTTCTACCTCCTAAGTGCTAGGACTATAGGTGGGACCACCATACCTGTTTTTTGTGGTGCTGAGGATCAAACTCGGGGCTTTGTGCATGCTGGGCATGGACTCTACCAACTTAGCTACATCTCCAGTCCTCAACTGCAGTATTTAACTTTATTATTATCAATATTTATTTACTTATTTTTTTATTTACTAATTTTTATTTTATGTGTATGAGTGTTTTGCCTGCATATATGTATGTGCACCTATGTTGTGCAATGCCTGTGGAGGCCAGAAGAGGGCATTAGATCTCCTGGAACTGGAGTTATGGATGGTTGTTAACCATCATGTGGGTGTTGGGAACTGAACCCAGGTCTTCTACAGCGAGTGTTCATAACCACTGAGCCATCTTTCCAGCCCCTTATCATTATTGATATTATTGTAGTACTGATGATTGAATTTAGAACATCATGCATGCTAGACAAGCACTCTACTATGATTTGAGGCAGGGTCTCACTAAAGCCTACCTAGGCTTTGAACTTACCCTCTTGTCCAAGGAGGGCTTGAACTTGGGTTCCTCTTAGGACTACACCACTAGATGCAGCCTCAGCCTTGGTTTTTAGATGATGATATGTGATAAAGTAGCTACAATAGAAAAGGATGAAAGCTGGGGTTATACCTGTTATCCCAGCATTGGGGAAGTGGTGGCAGGAGGAACTAGAGTTCAAGGTCGGGGGCTGGAGAGATGGCTCAGCAATTAAGAGCACTGGCTGCTCTTGCAGAGAACCAGGATTCGGTTCCCAGCACTCACTTAGTAGATAACAACTGTCTGTAACTCCAGTTCCAGGGGATCTGATGCTCTCTTTTGGCTTCCATGGCCATTGTATGACACAGGTGCACTTACATACATGTAGGCAAAATAGTCATACACATAAAATATAAATAAATATAAAAAAAAGAGTTCAAGGTCAGTATCAGTTACAGAGTTTGAGGCTAGCCTGATCTATATTACACCCTGTCTCATAAACAAAAACAAAGAAGAAAGGGTTGAGAGTGGTGAAGTCAGGAACTGAGTTCGAACTAACCCTTGCCCTCCTAGCTCTGGCACTGTGGGAATGACAGCCAAGCCACCTGTGTACTGGTTGCTTTATCTGTAAAATGGGAATAAACGGAGCTGGAATTAAGAGTTCTTGCTGCTCTTGCAGAGGACCCAAGCTCAGTTCCCAGCACCCATGTCGGGTGACTCAACCACCTGCAACTCCAGCTTCAGGGGATCTAACACTCTCTTCTGGCTTCCAAGGGCCCCTGTGTGCATGCGCACGCACATGCACACACACACACACACACACACACACACACATACACCCACACACACGAACATTTAAAAATGGAAATAATCATAGATATGGACATTTGGGGCTCTTGGAGGACTGACTGAAGTCATTCAGCATGGTGCCTGCCCTGCTGTGAACCCTAGATCAATGCCAAATGCTTATTGAAATAGGACCTAAGTAGACGGCACTTCCTATTTGCAGAGATTATTGCAAAGTCAACACTCACAGCTCTTCATGGCCTCCATTTCTCTGTAGACTATGGATTAGGGCTGTGTCTACACTGCCTCTGTCACGGGAATGTATGGAGAAAGGTGCTTCTTTGGTGACCTTTTTTCCCCTTTCAGTGCTAGGGATTAAACCAGGCCCTTGTGCATGCTTAAAAAAAAAGGTCTTTGTGCCCTTGAAAACCATCTAGTATTTTCTCACTTGAGAAATTTCTAAGAAGTTGCTTCTATTCACCCTCTCCCCTCCCCACTCCTTTAATGAGACAGGCTTTCTCTGTGTAGCCCAGGCTGGCCTCTGACTTGAGATCCTCCTGCCTCTACCCCATTTCCCATCTACCTTTAACAGAATTTTCGCATAAGCACTGAGGTAGGTTTTTTTTTTTTTATAACTCAGTTGGAAAATGCATAGTGACATTTCAGTGTGGTGAGATCTATAAAAATATTGCTTTC